ATCTGGACATGCTGCACACATATATATACACGTATACACGTAAGAAACATATGGTGTAATCGTTTTTGCAAAATTAGCCTTCATTTAAAATCATACAGACTCACCTTGTTGACATGAAGCATCACCCTGCCACCCTGCTGCACAGCCTCTTGGACATGTTCCGTTTGTCTTATCACAGATGTCGGCTTCAAGACAGTTTCCACATTGGGAGGCACAGTTGATACCATAAGCACCATTTGGACAGGTTGCAAACACATAATATTATGAACACATGGTGTGATCGTATTCGGCAATATCAACCTTACACAAACCCACCTTGTAGACATGTGCCATACAGCCATCCTGATGCACATCCTCTAGGACATGTTCCGTTTGTCCTGTCACAGATATCACCATCTAGACAGTGTCCACACTGGGAGGCACAGTTGCTACCAAAGGATCCATCTGGACATGCTGTAAACATGAATTCACAAAATTGATATTCATTGTGATCGTATATTCTGCAAACATAAATATATTAAATACCCCATCATACGTCACTGCCTAGCCTTCGCTTAACATCATGTGATTTTAGGTGCAGGCATGTGTCGTCATTCATTCACCCTACTGCACATCCTCCAGGAAATGCTTGCGCTGTATCGTAACAGCTGACAGCATCAAGGCAGTTTCCTGGAACACTGTCAATCATCATTACATTTCTGTTTTGTGAAAATCTTCGTAATTTTGTGTGAAATCTTTAATGAAAATATTCATGAGTGCGTATAACAACCTGCTGCCTATTGTGATTACAACTTTAAAGTAAGTATGGATACTCTCGAAGCGTATGCCAGAAATTGGCCCAATGTCGAATGTATTTCACCGCGATTTACGTCAGTGCAGAGTTTTGTCATTGGTAGAACTGAGGAACTGAGAAAATGAGGAGACAGAAATGGAATAAGCACATTTTGTCTCAGTCAGCTGACAGGTCTGGCTGCCCAACATAAAAAAACCCAAAAAACATCGGTAGTCGTTCCCACTGACAAGACCAAGTTTAATTACGTCAAAAATTTCATTTTTCAACTGTGTACACTACTGTTGCACACGATAAACCTAAGGAAGAACTTCATTCCTTGGGGCATGTGTTTCCAAACGCAATGGCCATATATAGTTACATATCTGTCTTCAAAGGTTTAGTAATTTCAGCGAAACTGTGAGTGATCGCAGCAACTCACCATTATTTACACCAACTGCTATTGACGCCTTGAAAGGAACGTTAGTCGGCAGAGAATGGACAGAAATATATCATAAATGCTACACTTTGACTCGTTAAATCCTTTTTATTGTAGCCAGACTATAATATGGGAACACAAGAAGGCAGCAGGAAATTAGTATTTTCAAATATATGTAGTAAATGCCGCAACTAAAATAACGCGATTTTGGAATATATTCTTTCTGATATGATACTGGTTTTAGATTGCATCAAAATTCAATGTAGCTATATGTTTATCCAGACAATATTTGGGAAACACAAATGTCCAGAAAAGCGAGGTTCGACTGTACAAACCTGTTAACATGGTGGAGGTAACACAACGTTGAAAGTATCTTCCATTATGTGAATGTCGCAATGTTATCAGGTGGTATGACATCAACGCTATGGTGACATTCATCAATGTAATAGATTGTTAGATTACTGTCTTTAATTAATGCATTTAAAATAGTTGTCGTAGTCATTGTTCGGACTTTCTATCAGGAAGGCTATTCGAACTTGTTGTGCATGATTTACACTTAATCACCTTTTTTGAACACCATTTGTTGCTGGGAAACTCCAGAAAAATACGTTTTAGACTGTATATTTCAAAATGCATTGAAATAGACCACTCATCGCCCCCGCACAGATTATGTAACAGGCACATTGGCAATACTCGTACGCTAGTTGTGTGCATATAATTAGAATGAACCTGAACGTACACGAGATACCTCCAAAAGGCTCCAATGAAATTTTATTTCTATTTTTATATCATTTTCAACACATACCTGTTTGGCAGTCGGCACCAAGAAATCCTGGGAAACATCCACTAGAACAGTGACCATTGATCTTGTCACATACATCAGTACTGTTTAGGCACTGACACTGTTTGTCACAATCTTCAGAAAACCATCCATCACTGCAAACTGATAATTGTTTAACATGTGATTACTGTTTAACAATATGAGTATTATTCTAAATACATCATCACCATTTACATATGTAGAACTATGTCTTCTCTAAGTGTTATCTAATTGCACTTTGACTTAGTACATATTTCGGTAGTGTTCTGACATCGACACTGTTTGCCACAATCGTCAGAAAACCATCCATCACTGCAAACTGATTATTGTTTAACATATTTAAAGCTATTCATCCTGTACATGTAGAACTGTGTATTATGGAAGACGGAACGTGTTCATGTTATTGTCAAGGTGCACGTTGATTTATACATGTTTCATTAAGGTTGAAGGATCGATAAATCAAATGTAATAATCTGATTAAGCATTTCTAGTGAATATATGTTGAAATGTTCAAGGCAGATTATGATAGTTTAGCTATATGGTGTATTTACTGTTCATTGTTATTCTTTTGATATATGTTACTTCTACCTTTAACATACATGTTTGGAACTCTACTGATTATCATAATCACTTTGAAACACCTCATATAACTTAATACGGTTGTTATAGTATCGATTGTATGTTCCAAGGATACGTGCAACAAGTTTGGTGACCCACCGATAAGAGCAGTTTCAGCTCTAATTCATGAAAAACAATTCAGCTCAAACATCTTTGGATAGTGAGAGCTTATAGTTCATACCACATGACAAATTGTCAAAATACGTGAATTCAAATAGCAAAGACATACCAAATATCTGCATCTCACATAAGGAAAGGAATTTCCTGTCACCAGGTATCCGTATAGTGACCGTGGTTCCTGTCAGTGGCTGACGGCAGGTGAAAATAGCTATAGCAGGAGGATGTTCAGTGGACGACCAGTTGTAGCACATCTGACTGCCCACAAGTATCTCCATGCCGTTGTGTCTTTCTTGCACTTTACAAAATGAATGTAAAAAGAGATCAAGTCAAGGACATCGCTACGTAAGTGAAATAATCTTGAATATCGTTAAGCCCCATTTTACCCCATTTCCTGATCTGGATAACAACTGCAAACTCAACCATTGATACTTAATGAGGCAACACGATCAATTCAGGAGAAGCCAGAAATGTCATTGTGAGTACTTGCATAAATGTAGCAGCCACTTCACTTCACAATTTCAAGAAGGCCGCTCGTGGGGAATCCGGGTTAGAATGGGTCCCCCGCAACCTATGCTGGTCGTAAGAGACGACCAAACGGAAGGCTCTGTGACTTGGTTGATTGCGTGGCATCATACCACGAATGCGTGGATTGTTGTTTGCGATGATAGTAATGACGACTTGATTATTTGCAGTAGCCACCATAGAGCTAAATTGCTGCTGAGTGGAATTAAACAACAAACACACGCTCCCTTAATCAGTCATGTCCCACGCTTCTTAAATGGGGTTCAGTGAATGCGTTTTAAATTATATGAAATTATTTTGACAGTTGTTTGTTTGCTGTCCCCGACCCTAGAACTAAACCTTGCAAGGCACACCTGATGTTCTTTATGGGTGCCCACTTCACGGTGACTAAGACACTTTTCAATGCCTGTTAATAATCTGAGTAACGTAAAACGAATTAAAAACACAACGTGTTTGGGGACCAGCGCAATGACTATTATCGGCGTTTTCTGAATTCAGATGGACAACCCACTGAAAACATAGGACTTAAAACATAGTATAATGTAGATAAACATACTACAACAATGAAGATCTATGTTACTTGTAGAAGTAACGATGCTAAGTGGAATACATTACCTTGGTATTAAAACGACTATTGATGACAATATGAAGATTTAATTCTATGAAACGACGTCCATGCCAAAATGTTACCTAATTATTGGGAATATTACCACCAGGCCGTGTTCAATGTTTAAAAGGAAGGAAGATAATAGAAATGGTATATAAATTACTTCACTATATTTCACTTCTGAAGACTGTGGTTATCTTGGCAACTATTTTTATTCATTTTTAAATTACATTGCATCTGCATTATATTAACTATAAACATGTGCATTAGCTATATTAATTGTCTGTATTACGAGATATATTGCCTTTGGAATTAGTAATTATTCTCAGTGTGCAGTGTACTCTTGATAGATCCTACCATTCTGTTGTGTTTGTTGTTGTATTTTACATCATTATTGGGAAAAACAACAACAAACAAATGTGTAACTTCTGCTGAAGTTATACCTTGTTATAATATAATATTTGATGAAAAATATATAATTCCTATAAGTAACCTATTTGATTTTCTTACATATAAACGAATCTGGATAAAAGGTATTAAATATTCTGTAATGCTCTTGGGAATTACAGTTTTCCTAAAATAACTCGGCTTTCCATTGGTCGACGGAACTTCTTTCCATTCGTTCTTCCTTTGAGTTTGTAATCAACGCGCTGTCATGGAACAAGAACGGCGAAAAGTCTGGATTCTGATTTCAAATTACTACATTCAGCTTACTTAATTGGGGTTGATGATAAATAGTCCACGTTCACCCATGCACCACCCAGTGCTAGTTTACTATTCGAAAACTATAAATTGGCTACTGAGCCGCTGTGTCTGTACGTTAACACGTGTGACATTTCGATTGTTTTAGGAATAAAAGCTAGAGACGGTGGCACTAAATTTGATTATGGGTAAGAAAGAGAATAACCAACTCGAAATTCGGAATATTATTATATAAATATAACAACTCGGTTTATCTTTCCCTTGGGAATTAATGTCGCTCACTTTGGATCTATTACATTAATTCCCCTGTGAAAAGTAATTCCTCGTAGTTCGTTAGTTATCCTCACAGTAACTACTCCTCAACAATTATATTTTGGAATTATATATTATCACCCTTACTTCTTCATATGTGGATGTACTCACAGTCGTCACGTAGATAGAGTCTTATGTGTTGTATCTTTTCTGGACGTGATGTGTTCAGGTTCACAGTCCAGGTGGGATCTGTCTCTTCCTGTGTATGGGCACATGTCAGTGGCGTGCTCCTGGCATCTGTGGTGGCTCTGCCGTCTACAGCAAGTCCCGCTCCGTAGTTAGTTGCGTTATAGTTCAATGAACTGCTCTGATTGCATGTTCTTCCCAACGCAATATTTTCTGAAAATATAAACACATGATCAGTATCACAATGATCGGTGACTTGTATTTGTGATATTACATCTACCCATCGACCTCACACTCACGTTTCTGACAGTACGAACCATACCATCCTTCCTGGCATTCGTCTGGACTGCCGACCTGGCTACAGGGAGTAGATGGGAACACGGCACAGGCGCTTGTAGTGTTACAGTGACATTCAGCATCTGTTTGAAAAAAATGTACCTTCACTTGATTGATAATGGTCATTACTGATTCACACAACAGTGAACATATAGACAAAGTTTCTGGATAAGGAACTGTTTGTGAATCCAACCTGTAGGTAAGTCAAATATTTATACTTATTTCACATTCTGAGAATAACGTTCCTACCAGTGAGTGTAACAGTGACACAGGCCATAAGCAGTCCTATCCAGACCAAACCCATGTCGGATACCTAACTGAAAAGACAACAACAAAACTTGCTTAATACTGATCACATAAATAGCGAATCTTACCAGAATGTGTTTTATCACAAATATTCCAGCACACGTCGATTAAAGTATCAGAATTGAGGAGCTTTAAAATTCCAATTTTCTCGACGAGTGTCGTTGTATGCTTTTATCAAAAGGTACGAGGCCAAAATAGTTTTTATTGTGCAACATTATTCCAAACGAACTAATACATCATAATGATCTTATCATGAAAAGGAAGGAGCGTTGCGTCCTTTAGGCATGCCAGAAACCTATGGTCGCGTGAGACCAAAAGACGTAAAAAAGATGGTACTTGTTGTCACCCTGTCTGGCGCTCGGGATTAAGGGGCAAAAACAAGGACTAGTCGGCTCGGAGTCAGTGTACTGTGCCTCAGTGGGGTATTCATGTTAAACAGCGTCATGGTATCTCAGTGGGCTAGTACTATAAATCGGCATCAGTCCGGACAAGTACAAGCAGCCACACACACACGTACATGCACGTCGCTTTATAAGTGTAATAATCTTGTACGCGGCGTAAAACCCCATTTCACCTGACCTCACCTCTCTGATAATGTTTCTTTGTTTGTCAGCACCACACATGTGTCGGTTGGTATCACCAAAGTGGTTAACGTCTAAGACCTGCATTAGTTGGGGCTTTTCTCCCACATAAACCTGACATACGGTCATATAAGCCTGTAAAATATTCTGCAATAACATTTTTCAAAGCGGCGTTAAACAAAAAACCCTCACTTAGCTGGTGAGTGAGTGAATATGTGAGTATACTTATCGCTGCTTTATATCAGGACGTATCCGTTTGATGATGGAAAACAGATAGAGAACTCGAAATACGTTTAATAGGATTTAATTAATTTTATCTTTACAGGATAAAATGGTTTATTTCAGTTCGGCAATCCTGGGATAGGTGACCCATCATTTAATTTGTGCACTATAGTATTTATGTTGCAGGCTAAGGGAGGTTACTCGGGTCTACAAGCTATAATTTTGCATTACAGGCCGGCTCCCATGAGATTATTCAGGTTATACATTAGTAGCATGGCAAAGGGAGATAACTGAAGTAAACCTTTAATGTGAAGGAATTCCCCTCTGCCTTTCGCTTTCGGGGGCCATTACAGGCAAACTGTTTTTTCCGTGTTCGTGCATATATTTTCGTGTTTCGCAGCATGTCAGGGAGAGGGAAGCCAATGAGAAAGCGGCCGACACGTGGGACAAGAGCGGCCACGAAGAAGAAACGCAAGGAACAGGCCCCTTCGCAGTCGTCACCGCCCGGCATGCCCGAAGCAGCGATGGGACAGCCAGATAACTTGGCGACAGCACGTGGACCCAGTCAAGTTCAAGCAGGCAGGTCAGCGCCTTTCCAGACTTCGTCAGGTGAAAACGCGAGTGGGTCAAGACCGACTGGGGGTGAGTTTGTTGACATATCCTTTAATCCAGAAGTTACAAACAATATTACGGAATTGGTTTCCTTACCCACTCAGCCGTTAAGTACACAAACACAGTCAGTCACTTCACACGCGCAGTCCCCATGTTTCCCTCCCATACTGTTTGCCGGGAGTGAGTTTACCCCTCCCACGACACAATGTGGTGATGATGATTTGGGAGCTAACGTTCCTTCGAGTATCAAGCAAAAGATATGTAATGGTGAATATATCAATCTTGCATTGCTGCTGAAATCTGACCGGGAATTACAAGATTATGCTTGTACATCAGCCATTTTCCTTAACTCGGAAGGTCATTTGGAACTGAAACCAAAGGCTTCAGGTAAAGTGATTGAAACCATAACTGATTGGGCAACTGCATTCACAGTGTATATTAGCATTTTTATCAAAAGTCACCCGGAACAGATACAAGGAATGCTCAAATACATGAACACAATTCGTCTGGGGGCATCTCGTCATACTGGGATTGGTTGGAGAACATATGATGAGCAGTTCAGACTGCGTCAAGCACGAAATCCACAGAATTCATGGGGGTCAATCAATGTAGAGCTTTGGATGTTATACATGCAAGTTCCGTCACAGAATTTTAGCTCGTTCCCCAGAAATGATAGCCAGTCATTTCATGTCCAGAACACAAACACAAACTCAACATGCCATGATTACAACTACAGGTATTGCAGTCGAGACAAGTGCAAGTTCAAACACACCTGCTCCAAATGTGGAGGGAATTCCCACCCTGCGTCTTACTGTTTGTCCAAAACACAATCTGGCAAATTTGTAAACACTAGCCAGGACCCCAATCAGAACCCAAGTGCTTCAGCTTCAGCTTCATAACAATCATCATGATCATATATCATGTACTTTTCAATTTTATGCATTCATGTTTATGTTATTTTCCTAATTACTTCATTTCATTCTAATCATGTCATTACCTGCTTTACCAATGTGTTTGGATATTGTATGTTGTATGAAAAATTGTTCATGCATTAATTAAGTCTTTTTTACAGATGTTTGGATTGTAGGCTCATCATTGTCTATTGGGCTCAGCGGCAGAGTTTCAGATTGAAATTAGGGAGGCATCTTGGCTTACATAAATTGGGGTTCACCTTAAGTTGGTTTGGCAAGAGAGGAATGCACTGGAGAGAGCTCAGACAGCTATTGTTTACCCAGCTTGAAAGGAAACCTCCTCCACGTGTCATGATTCTCCACTTAGGTACAAATTATCTGGTAAGCTACCCTATTAGGAATTTAGTTTGCAGTGTCACAGAGGATGTCACATATTTTGCTAAGATACTTCCCTTCACAGTCTTTGTATGGTCTGAGTTACTTCCACGACAGTATGGGCATAGGGCAGCAAATTATAAATCGGTGGAGGCAGCCAGGAAGCGCTTGAATAGAGCAGGCATGAGTGCAGTGCTAAGGGTTGGAGGTGAGCCAAAAAGCATGGTATTCGGGCGCAGGATTTGGGGATGTACAGGCATGATGGTGTCCATCTTTCAGATGTAGGGCTTTTCCATATTTGTCAATACCTACCAGGAGGCTTTGGAGTACTTCCTTCTGGATGACCGGTCAAAGGTGTTTACTGGCAATTAATGTTAAGTTTGTTTTTTTGTTGTTGTTTTTTTTGTTTTTTTTTGTTTTCTGTGCCAAGTATTGGAGGGTCTGTGTATAGACACAGTCCTGTGGCGTAATACTTGCGGGTTGGGCATAGTAATTTCCGGAGGCCTTCGATGAGCGCTACCCGCGAGGGCCTAGCTTGCTTAATGACACGCTGGTTGACCTCCTTTGGTGTACCCTGGGGGGATCAAAGTCATTTTGCCTTTTGATGACTCGTTATGTGTTTATCCTCTCGAGTCGCGCTTTCTGTTTGTCCTATTGCCTTCGGGCCGGCATTCAGTGATTTTGGTTCGCCCAACCTGCAGGGTTATGCAAAATATCATCCCCCTGTAATTTCATGAATAAAGCCGTGGCCATACTCCACACTTAACTTACATAATCTTTTGGTTATTTATTCATCTAGTATGCTCTAGATTGACATTATCTTGAAATAATTAATTTTATCTTTACAGGATAAAATGGTTTATTATAGTTCGGCAATCCTGGGATAGGTGACCCATCATTTAATTTGTGCACTATAGTATTTATGTTGCAGGCTAAGGGAGGTTACTCGGGTCTACAAGCTATAATTTTGCATTACAGGCCGGCTCCCATGAGATTATTCAGGTTATACATTAGTAGCATGGCAAAGGGAGATAACTGAAGTAAACCTTTAATGTGAAGGAATTCCCCTCTGCCTTTCGCTTTCGGGGGCCATTACAGGCAAACTGTTTTTCCCCCTCCCGATACCCACCCTTATTATAGCTTAAAAGTTTATATTTATATTGCAGACATGTCATGAGCTACATGATTAAAGTATATACCTTATGAAGGTTAGTAAGTTACAATTTCTGCCTAGAAATTTTGCTGTTTCAGGTTGTTGTGGATGATCACAGGGGTACCAAGCCAAATTTCAGTTCTGCTTCAGTCACGGCAGCAGGACTCCATTCAGTCACCGAGGTGAGGTTCATCCAACGCCATGTGTGACATCGCGGCGTAATACTTGCGGATTGGGCATAGTAATTTCCAGAGGCCTTCGATGAGCGCTACCCGCGAGGGCCTAGCTTGCTTAATGACACGCTGGTTGACCTCCTTTGGTGTACCCTGGGGGGATCAAAGTCATTTTGCCTTTTGATGACTCGTTATGTGTTTATCCTCTCGAGTCGCGCTTTCTGTTTGTCCTATTGCCTTCGGGCCGGCATTCAGTGATTTTGGTTCGCCCAACCTGCAGGGTTATGCAAAATATCATCCCCCTGTAATTTCATGAATAAAGCCGTGGCCATACTCCACACTTAACTTACATAATCTTTTGGTTATTTATTCATCTAGTATGCTCTAGATTGACATTATCTTGAAATAAAATAATATTATGCATATCATTGTAGCTACTGGATGTATACATATTTTAAGCAGATGAAGGAATTGTTCAAACACTCCTGATCGCTTTTTGTAACCTTTTCTCGTATGACCAAATTAACACATTAAACTTGTGACTAAATAACAACATGTACAGAAAGAACTCACCTCCAACATCAACACCTCACAGTGCCTCTTGTATGTCTCTACTGGCGCATATGTGTTAGCAGCCAGGAAGTGAATCATGTGAGGAATACAACGCATCTATCATTGCAAACACGAAAACGTTGTTTTTTCCGTATATGGTCATTAGACGACAAAACATTCATTAAAACTGATTAATCATTGAGCGGCCAGAAATTGTCCGGAAAAGCGTCGAGTTTTTAAAGCGTAAGATGGACGGAAAAACGATGCTTTTTGCTCCGCATTGAATGTGTCCAATCACGATCACCATGTCTTATTTCGTATGTATAATGATTTTGTTTCTAAGACAACATGAGAAATGTGATGGAACTGTAGATTTATCCGTTCTTAAACTGGATGTATGTCGAGAGAAGGTTTTCCACAATTATATGATACGCCCACCTTTTCGCGAACACCTGGTATCATCACCATTTGGATTCATACACATGCTCATGATATGGTCGGAATAGGGCAATCGACTCTTCATTATTATTATGATTATTATTTACAGATTAAAATTAAAAATGCAGCAGAGACCATGGCACAGTCAGGCTGGATAGGGTAATCATCAGCTCAGGGCCCTTGCACCCTCTACATGCAGCCCAGACAGCGACTTCTCCCAGGAAAAGCTGCCTAGTCAAGCCCACTCAGAACTTTTCGGAGAATGTGAAGACTCCCCAACACTGCAGCCTTCTGCATTACCCAGATTGATAGAGGGGCTGTACTCCTGGCAGCAAACCCGGGTACTCACCCAATGTCAGGTACTTGGTACTTGGGATACAAGCGTGACATTTCGAAAGCGAGGTCTGCATATTTGCCCTGTTTTTCCTGAATCTTGTCAATCACATTAGTGTCAGAAGCGACAGAAAATTCGATGACATAAATGATTTCATTGGATTTATCAAAAAGGACAAGATCAGGTTTGTTGGCCTGGGTAGGTCTGAGGCTGTCTACGGGCCTTCCAAAGAAGTTTGTATTGATCATTTTCCATGACTCCCTCTACATATTCCGGGTCGTACCATGGATGGACCTCTGTGTCTAAACCACAAGCATGGCGAAGACCGTAATAAAATAATCGAGTTACACCATCATGTCGCTTAAGATACTGTGTTTGTACCAAAGCGGGGCATCCACTGACAAATTCATTACATAATCTCCATTTCATTTTTACATTTTGATGCAAAATCACACATTGACGGTTTCGAATGGGAAGTGACTGGTCCTGAGCAGCAAACAGAAAGCCTTCTGTTTCACTTTTCAGGCCAGCCGACCTCATCCAAGCGAAGGACTCTGCTGGGTTGCTGATCTTCTCAACACACTGTACATAAACTCGACTGGTCGTTCAACCTCTCTTGTGTCTGGGCCGATTTGATATGGTACTTTGCTTGGTTGACACTCATTTCAGCAGTAAATCAACACTAACGTTGAGATTATGTCCCACATCCTTGGCTCGTTGACGAAAACTGTGTTTATAATTAGTAGTATTGGTGTTGTTGTTTTTGTTGTTTCTCAAACTGTTATGTAAGTTTCAGGGACTCATATGACTTTTTCATTGATTCCTTAACTTTCTCAAACGCACATTTGTAAGATTCTAACATCTTTTTTTTCTGTTTTATTTTGGCCCACATACATTCACTCGCCAAACCAGCCCGAGCACAATCCACAGTGTATTACCATGAGACAGATTACGAGGATCATAACATGTGGTCTATTTTTAAAAGCTGATTTGGTACATATTAACAAAACGTAAAACACACTTATTTATCATCCTATCCGAACATGTTAAAACTGTATTTTCACGTAGTGAGTGGTTTTACGCCACTTTTAGCAATATTACAGCAGCTGATATTATCAGTTCTTCGGCGTGACGAGTGAAATCTTTAACCACCAGGCTACTCGACCGCCCCATCAAGTAAAATGTGTCAGGATGATGTACATAGTATAGAGCAGTTATGTTTGCAGAGTTACTTACCCGTTTAAGCCCGTGAAGAGATACTTGATCGAGGTGCAGTGCAGTTGAAATCTGATCATGTGTTTACAAAAGCTGTCCATGAATCCAGAGCAATAACATGGTTAGACAGGACAGTATAGGAAAACACAATTAACAACGGTGTGTGCTCATATATATATAAATAGATAGATATAAAAGATAGCTACGCAAAGAACAATGAAGGACGAGGCGTGGTTTATTTCACAATAAAACATTGTTTTATCATGTCGTCATTTCTGGAGAATCGAACAACTTGATGACGTCATAAATTGGACGACATTATTTTTTAGAGGGACGTGCCTAGTGAGTTGTTCCCCATAGATGTTACTGGCCTTCGTAAATAAACGCAATGGCCGAACAATCGCTTCCAAAAGTGGGGAGATATAACAATCGGTACTGGGAGAAAAGGAGCAGATAATCGACGTGAAAATTGTGAGAATATGCGGGAAAGACCAATTTTACCCATCCCACCCACCCCACCCCGATCATACAATGGACTTGTCCGACATTGCCGAGGTCAGAATCTATTGAGGGAGTAATCATATTTAAATACGGGTAATTATCACGGTGTATTTTTTACTTACATCCTTTAAGAGGTTGTACATAATGTTGATATCTCACATAAGAAATAAACGACGTTGTTTAGAGTACAATTAAAAACTGCAGGGAAAAATTAGCATGAGAGGCACATGTATTAAGTGTTAATCACATGAGAAGCTGACACTCGTATATACAGACGACATTACAGCGAAGTGAACAGAGCTATGCCGATACTCACCTCTCATGTCAACACCTCACAGCTGTACAATGAAATGTCTGATCAGGAGTCTATATGTAGGCTACCAGGAAGTGAATTGAGTGAAGGAGATTCACATGATCGAGGCATTGTGTTTGTCACTTCCCTGCATGATCTTTGCAGACATTGTTTGCTTTTGGGTTGATTGTAAACAAAACGATTCTCAGATATCCTAGGTACACCTGTTATCGGGTATTCTCCATTTAACTAAATTAATTAACACTTTGCTATACCTGTGTATATACTATATTCTAATATGCACTACTTGTTTCTGCAATACCCTGTCTGCATAGTTTTTATGTCGACATGTCAAATATCAAGAATTGGTAATACACGTCATCAGGGGAAAACGTCTGTAGAATACCTATGCCACCACATAAGGGACCACAACAATCGTTTTTGGGCAGCCAGTACTACTCAAAAGAAGTTAAAGAACACCCGACTCTTTCACATGACTTTAATTTGAAAGAATCAGGTGTTCTTTAACTTATTTTGAGTAGTATATAGTTTGTCCGTGAAAACTAATGCTTTGCTTTGTTCTGCCATGGCAGGGGTTGAAGTTAATCAATGTATATGAGTGGCCATGTATGTGGATGTTTCCTGAAGCATAAATGTTTGAACTTTCAATGATGAAGATGTTTTCAGACATTTTAGGCTACATTCCCTAAATCGATACATTGATTTATCTCAGCTGTACAGTGTATATAGATGATCTAATAATATCTAACGATTCAAACCCTTGTTTATTCCCATTAAAATGCACTGTGCGTTGACGTTCTATTGTTAATTTAACTGTACCAACATTTCTGTTGGTGGACTGAATTTTCATCGCCCAAGCTAAGTCAACTTCAAAACACATGTTTGGGTCGAGACATGACTTCCCTGCCCTAACACGCACGCACGCACGCACGCACGCACGCACGCAGGTGCAAAACGAAGATATTTCGTTAAGGTTTTCGTTAGTTATAAGAAGCAAAATATCTACACTTATACACAGATGTAATTCAAAGTGAATATATCGTTTCTAGTTTCTACAAACTCGTGTCACTTGATTTTCGGGTCCATCATTTGATTGTCTGGTTTGTTTACAGGCGGTGGCATCGCTAGGGTTCTGCTGTGCATCGTCAGCTGACGGACAAACACATCTTTCCATGTTTACTACTTAGATTTACATTTACGACCTTCACTTCAAGGCATGTTGATGTATGTTTGATCTGGGTCAGCCTAAAGAGCCTTGGTATGTATATTCAAGGTCCTATTGACAATAGCATAATGCAAATAACCCAGCTATCTCTTTCTGTGACCGCCTTTAAGCAGGTGTATGTACCTGGAAAGTTATACTATATATTAGCCTATAGTAGTTGGTTGGTTGTTTGGTTGGTTGTTTAACGCCGCACTCAGCAATATTCCAGCTGTATGACGGCGGTCTGTAAATAATGGAGTCTGGACCAGACAATCCAGTGATTGATATCATGAGCATCGATCCACGCAATTGGGAACAATGACATGTATCAACCAAGTCAGCGAGCCTGACCACCCGATCCCATTAGTCGCCTTTTCCGACAAGCATAGTCGCCTTTTCCGGCAAGCATGGGTTGCTGAAGACCTAAGCATATAGTAAGCATGTAGTAGTAGTAGTAGTAGTAGTAGTAGTAGTAGTAGTAGTAGTATGAGTAGTAGTTTGACGTACTCAGGTTTAAATGAGGATGAATCGCTCTTGATAAGCAACTATATTACCAAATTATGTTGCAAATGTTCGTTTTTAATCGATTTAAATAAACCACCCGTTGGGGAATTTAGAGGAAGGCTATAGACATTGATATACCATATGCACATGTATAGGCTCATATTAGTGCACAAGAAATCAAATGCTCATAGTTGTGGCATTGTTGACATTGGTATGAATTTCCCAAATTATAGTCGAATCATTTTTGCAAAGGGAACTTCATGTGTATTGTGAGAGTTTATACCAACACCAAGATGGCAATATGTATACAAACGTTATGTTCGTCGTCATGTATATTGTGTAACCCTTACATCTCTTTACCTGGCTTAGACGCCTGGTCACTGCCAGTGGAGGGGGAAAGGTACTGGCTGTCATCATAGTCGACTCTACTCTATACCTTATCGTTGTAAGGTTCTCTTCCTTTTACGTACTGTGGTGATTTCCCTGTAAGTTTTAAATTATCACACAATTAAAACCTCCAAGGAACACTGAATTTGTAACACTGTCTCCGGCTGTTTACTAAACTACCACTCCACCCCTTATCTTTCTGATTACTTACCATATCTGCCCCAGTGTCAAGGATTTTCTTGGCATTGTATTGGTCTGTGATTTATCCTTTATGCTAAATCACGCCTCTATGCCTCTACGTATATCCACAGATCATGTTTTCCATATGCTGCATCAACTGTAGTATTGTGTTTGCATAAATTGTCGCCAAACCGTGTATGGCAAACAGTGAGCATAGTGCACCCTTTAGGTAAAAAAACATTGAGAAAAGGACATATTGACAATGGTAAACATATTAAATGTGCAGAAACTATACAATATTTTCTGTATATTTCATATCTTAACTATTGACTATTTCTATACATTTCGCATCTTAACTGTTGTATATCTATGTATTTATGTAATTGTGTATCCATTGTATATTTTAACCATACATATATATTTAATGGCAGCAAGAGTGAGATTATATTTCTTATTCCTTCTCTTCACGAGGTATTAATTTTGCCTATCCAACTTGAGAAATGGTGAAAATCGAAAAAGAAATGGTAATTAATGGATGTCATAAGTTGACGATATTTTTACCACCTTGGACCAAGATCTATCTTTAAAAAAAAGCTGTCCTGTGCACGTGACATTACTCATCGAAATGCAGAATCACACATCGTAAACTAACACCTGAAACGAAAGGAACGGAGCAATCTGTTACATGATTGATACTGTTCAAGCTGGATCAGTGCGTATCGCCTTTCACCTAGTAATGACTTCATTACATGTGGCAGTATTTGACAAAACTGTGCAGAGAAAAGATGAATATATCCATTACAGGAGGCAACATAACTTAATCATTCAACCTCAGTTATGGTCAGTCTCTCAGTTTATGTATGTAATGTTTAATGACAGAAATCCATGACGGACGCGAATGCAGTTAGTCCTTATCGCGTGATAATAGACACTTTTAGTCAATGAACTTGAAACAAAGGAAACAAAATAACTTTATTACAATCGCAAGGGCTCACAGGAATAGAAGTGTTATAAAAAAGTAAAACCACCATGATTGTTGTGTTCATATGTAAAGAAGGGTAATTTCGGATCATGAAGTTGCAAGATATTTAAGGATTAACTGTGGATTTGTTTCTTACAAAAGTTTGCACATCGGTATTTCGTTTCATACGTCAATGAACCGACAAAAATCCATAATCAATCCTTATAATTAAATTCGACAACGAAAACATGTACAGTAGTTTAACCAAACAGTTGCATATGTCAAAGCAGACAAAAATGACGAGATTGATAAACATTCAGGTGTAGGAATACATAGAGTGGCGTGACATGAATCAGGTGATTGTTTTAGTTATGTACATAATTTGACACAAAGTCAATAGCCAATCAACGGAGAGTAGGATCAAAAACAAAGTTCAAAGGACCCGTCAATCAAGGCAAGAGGCGAGAAGAACTGCAACAGTCAGACTGTAACGAACCGGAACAAATATGTCAGGAAGATGGCGGACGTTTCAGATGACATTGTAAGTTACCGCCAGACTCAAACATTAGCTCCCTGAGAACGGGAAGACACATTTGATTGAAATGTGTATACTATGTACACCTGCAATTGCACACGTGGTCCCCTCGTTGCAGAGCAAATTCTGATACCTCTTTATTGTGGAGACCACCCGGGTTTATATTTTAATCGTAGATTCCCATATATCCAGCAAACAATTGTGTGCTGTTATATTCTGATAATAAGTTAAGTGTACATCCCATCACTTTTAGTCGTTTCTTTTGATTGTACACATGTGTCAAAAAGTACAAATAGTGTAACAAAAAGGTTTTGAATTTATTCACGAAATATTAACAGTGAGGAAGTTTTGTTAAAGCATCTGTAAACAGTGAGGGTCAGCCTGATCAGCTGGGAAATTATTGAACAAAGCATGCCTAACTGTCTATGTGACGACGAATCAGGCAAAATGTGTAATATTTTACGGTTCACGTCCGGTTTATGTAACATAATGATGCAAAGCACACGGGATCAGGTACATCGCGGAACTTATAGATTGCTGCAGACTGGTTGACGGAATATTCAGGGGAATGGTTTCAGTGATAGACAAAGGTGAGTAAGGACATTATCGCGGTTTACCGTTTACAGTCCCTCTTCAAACTGGAACTGCCCAACCTTCCCCTCGACCACCCGATCTGTATTATCTCTGGATCTTGATAACCGAAGCATGTGCGATTCTATCAAGCAAAATTATTATGATTATGATTATGATTATGATTATTATTATTATTTACAGATTAAAATAAAAAATTGGGATATGACGACATGCATTAACCAAATCAGCGAGCCTGTCCACACGATCCCGTTGGTCGACTCTTACGACACGAATAGTCGCCATTTACGGTAAGCATTATAAGGTATCATGGGTTATATCTATATATTTCTGCAGATCTGCACCCTTTCCTCCAAGGTAGATAACACCATCAATTTTCACCCTGAACGTGATCGACTGTATTGTAATAAGGCGTAGCAATATCGATGTGTTCGTAGGTACTTTCTGTTGGTAGTGTCTTTGTCCTCACATCAAGTTCAACATATCGGCCCTCTGATATCTTGGATTTTAAGCTCTCCAGTTCTTTCATTAACCTGACGTGCAAAATATAACGTTGTGTAGTCAAAGTAACTGAAACTTACCGTAAAACAAACAAAATGATCCATACTTTACAATATGCAAATGTTAGGAAACAGTTAAAAGTAAATGAGATACTTAGACTACGAAAAGATACTGTGTAGGTCAACTTTCTAAACACACAAACAAGTCTTGAAGTACATTGTTGTAGAAACTATGACATCCAACTTGGGCGATTTTGTACTGTGCTTATGGAAAAGGAAACGGAAATGTTATACAAGAACTGGTACACAGTCATTTAGCATAGGAATAAAAGGAAAGTAGCAATGACAACGGTAAAACTGACATGTCCACGCACTTTCAAATTATATTTTGAAATATTTTTTTAGGTTATCCTCAGACAAAACAATGGTGAAGAAATCCGTTTTTTAATAATATGCAGCAGGTAATTTGGAATATTTAAAAATATTGTTCCAATCACTACTAAAGTGACACCATATATTCCACCATCAACGATACAGTACATAGAGTTACTCTGATCTACATTTGAATGGATAAAAAGAAAACCAACTGTCTACTAAATAAATCAAGCATTGCTCGAGGCTACCAGTGTTGGAAAATCATCTACAATATTTTCAAATAGAGTAAATGTATTCTAAAGGGCGTATTACTTTAATTTTAGGTTGTTTTGGTGATCGAATACCTTCAACCAATCAAGTAATAATAGCCCCGTTAAGATAATATTTTGATATTCAGTGTGAAATAGAGCAGTAGGTGTAGTGAACGGGTGAGTAATAAAAGAGCTTTTCGTTCACGCTCGAAAATGTGTGGTTCTTTGTGTTTTGGAGGCAACTTATACTACCGTCTAATGTATATGGTTGCCCCAATCACTGTGAAAATCAGCAAAGCACCAAGGGTCGCTGTTACAGGAATACCCCAGTTGGACTCCTTTTCTGTAGGGATCAGACAAACAGATAAATGGGAATCCAACGCACCAAACATCAATAATGCATTATGAAAGCTACATGTACGTCAGTTAATGGTATGTAGTTGCATTGTGTATGTTTTGTTAGCAGTATTAAGCATTTAAAATGTTCTGCAATGTCATTGATTCTTTTAACTCCGTTGCTACACGCTGAGTGGAGTATGTGAACTACGTAATGGTAGGGGATTCAATACACACAGTTCTAAGTTAACTGAATATACGCTATAAGTTCTGAGCAAAAAATTTCACCTTGTCACCCTCTGCTTTCCTCCTTCCATTGTATCGCACTTACTATTGCCTAAACAAAGATGATAACCAACTGAAGTCCATCTGGACATACTATGCGAATGTAAAACCCCATGACACTGGCATTGCAGAAAGCAATGGTTCATTGTTTTGCGAAATGAACAGTTCATGTTATGATTGACATTGTCACAAGCATCAAATGGATAAGTATCGAATTCTACTTCATTAACCTTGAGGCAAGTATACATGTTTAGCGTAACTGCAATAGGCGTCAATGGCACTCACGTAGACATGTGCCGTCATTAATCCACCCTGCTGCACATCCTCCGGGACAGGTTCCTGTTTTTGTGTCACAGCCGACACCATCTACACAGTTTCCACACTGGGAGGCACAGTTGATACCATAGGAACCATCTGGACATGCTGTAAAAACATACACACAACGAACATATTAGTACATAATCGTAGTCTTCAAGATTTGCCTTTACTTTAAACCATACAAAACCACCGTGTAGACATGTAGTGTCAATCCGCCATCCTGCTGTCACAAAAGGAACCGTCTAGGCAGTTTCCACACTGAGAGTCACATTTGATAGGAACCATCTGGACATACGGCAGACACATACACAGAATGATCCATTTAAGATTTGATGGCACAAATCATCGAGGTCTATATCACCCCAATGACAGCGGCCACATTTGACGTTACAATGATAATGAATGTACGCGACTGATATGAAATTCATTTCACAAGTATTCGCAATATGATGAGAAAAAATGTCAATTGCCTTACATAAGTTATCAAAATGCAAAAAAACATTTTAGTCGGATGTTCGGGTAAATACAAAAAAACACACACCATGAATCATATGTAAATGAGTACCAAATGGAAACAAAACTGGACCGAATAATGTCAATTTATAATTTATTGCAACTGTCAAAGAGCAACATTACTCACGTTGTAGACATAACATTGCGTCGTCATTCATCCATCCTGCTGCACATCGTGAAGGGCAGGTTCCATTTGCCTTGTCACAGCTGTCACCATCTACACAGTTCCCACACGAGGATGCACAGTTGATACCATAGGAAGCATTTGGACATGCTGTAAACACATACACATTACAAGCACATCACATATTCATATTCTGCACGATTAACATTCACCTAAAACCATACAGACCCACCTTGAAGACATGTAGTGTCACTTTGCCATCCTGGTGCACATCCTGCAGGACATGTTCCGTTTGTCTTGTCACAGCTGTCACCATTGAGGCAGTTTCCACACTTGGAAGAGCACTTGCTCCCAAATGAATAATCTCGACATGCTGTAAACGCAAATTCACGAAATTAATTTTCAATGGAATCGTATATTCTGCAAATAAACATAGTAAACATTCCATCACACGCCAAAGCATAGCCTTCGCTTTACATATATGACAGGCATGTATCGTATTTCTATTATCCTTAACAGAAACAAGGAAGCACGTTGTATATACTCACAGAAAACAAATTAAAAGTAAACATAAACGCCGAAGGATTTGTTGAATCTTTGCTATCTTTGGAAAGAACAAAGCTCGATCATGTCAAATACCTCAACTTCGTAAACAACTCCACCACATAACAAACATCAGGGAAAACTTAATTCATTGATCCATGGGTATTTGTCACTAAATGCGGTGACCACAGATGAAGTTACATCTTTATGTTCAAAGGTTCGGGATAATTTGATAAAAATTAAAACAAACGCCATCTGGAATATAGTGCCAAAACAATGTGTGAAATGCTGGACTTCCTCATAGAGAACACATTTGTGTGAAATTTGGGGAGAGGACATTTAGGCAAGCAGTAGGTTTTCCCATGGGCACCAATTGTGGACACCCTCCTTGCTGATCTGTTTCGTCATATATGTAAATCGGAATTTCTGCTTGGATTGGAAAAATCAAAACAAGTCAATTTGGTCAAGAAATGTAACTGGAGCTTCAGTTATATCGATGATCTGTCGTACGGAATGGTTTGACTTTCGAAAATGAATACTATACGAACTTGCATGTTGTTTACTAAATTACCTGCTTAGGTAACATAAAAGATAATAAATTGATATACCATTTGATACAGTGTAACACCCAGTGCTAAAGTAATAGCGCAGAACACACTTGTGAGTGTATTTAAAAAAACATTGAAATAGATCATAAACAGATTAAGATACAGGTACATTGACTGTACTAAAACTATTTTTGTGTGTACATAGTAAGAATGTACTTGATCATATGTGAAATATCTCTAATTTGCTCTTATGAAATGAGGGGGCGGTCTGGTAGCCTAGTGGTTAAAGCGCCGTCGTCACGCCGACCACCCGAGTTCGATTCCCGACATAGGTACAATGTGTGAAGCCCATTTCTGATGTCCCCCACCGTGATTTTGCGGGAATATTGCTAAAGGCGGCGTAAAAATATACTCACTCATTCACTCTAATTAAATGATCTTTAATTCTCTACACATACCTGTTAGGCAGTCGGTACCATAATATCCCGGGAAACATCCACTAGAACAGTGACCAGTGATCTTGTCACATATTTCAGTTCTGTTTAGGCACTGACACTGTCTGTCACAATTCTCAGAAAACCACCCGTCACTGCAAACTGATTATTATTTAAGATATATTCATCCTGTTCTTAATGTAGAACTGTGACTCATGTTAGACGGAATATGTTCATGTTATTATATAATTGAAGGTTGATTATACATATTTCATAGCATTTGAAGGTTCGGTAATTTCAATCTTAAAACTGATTACACAATGAATACAAGTTGAAATGAGCGAGGGTGATATTGGTAGTTTTGCTGTATCATTTTTTTCTTTTTTCATTATTATTGTTTTGATTGTGACCAACCATTATATAAAGGAATAAAATATTATTTTGACTTCTCATTATACTTAAAAAGGTCTACAGTAGCTTAGGAATACAAACATACAAATTCACAAGCTTCAGTTCATATTTATTACAGAGATACATGGCATCAAACATTTGAACTCATTTACACATGGCCATTTTTAAAGGAGGTATATTGACGTCAAACGTCCCTCTTAATGACGTCACAGTACAATTGTATCCTAGCTCCGGTGGCTGCAGGGCGGAAGGACGGGGGTTTGATCCCCGACCGCGTCATACAAAAAGACGTCAAAAGATGGTACTTGTTGTTACCCTGCTGGGCGCGCGGCATTAAGGGGTTAAAACAAGGACTGGTCGGCTTAGAGTCAGTATACTGTGTCTGAATGTGGTATTCAGGTTAAACTGCATGGTATCTCAGTGGGTAACACTACAAAATCGGCATTAGTTCGGACTAGTACTAGCAGACAGACACACACAGACACACACAGACACACACAGACACACACACACACACACACACACACACACACACACACACTTGCTCACAAAGTGCAATAATCTTTGACGCGACGTTAAACACCATTTCACCTCACCTCTTCTAACCTTGAAACTCATTTAAATGAATAAGGGGGAGTTATAAATTATATGACCCAAAGGATATGTCAACAAGTTCGGTAAACCACCGCTGTTTCCACATTGATGTCTGCAATATTTATATAAATTCGTACATGTTTGGATTGTGAATGGTTATAATTCATACCGTACCACAAAATTTCCAAATGAGTGAGAGAATATACATTGCCCATAACATACCAAATATCTGCACTTCACACAAAGTAAGGAATTTCCCTGGACCAGGTACCCGTATTGTGACCGTTGTTCCTGTCAGTGGCTGGCGGCAGGTGACGTTAGCTATAGGAGGAGGATGTTCAGTTGGCGACCAGTTGTAGCACATCTGGCTGCCTATAAGTATTTCCATGCCGTTGTTTCTTTCTAATACTGTGCAGAATGTATACAAAATGTGATCAAGCACAGATAAAAATATCAACTTCAGACCTTACTATAGAAACTAAATGAAACAAAATCAAGGGCCATTCACGACCAACCAGAAAAGTAATTGCAAAATATTTGAAGAAAACATGTTGCAGCCACTTAATTGCCATTTCAAGCAGGAAGCCCCATGGGGAACCCGGATTAGAATCGATGTTCAGCAACCTCAGAGGCGACCAAACGGATCGTGTGTACCGTATTTTGATACAAGTCTTATTCATTAGATTTACCTTCGGTTTGGGGACAGGCATATAAACAATAATTTTAACATGAAAACCCAGTTAAACAACGATGTCTCTTGCTAACATAAGGAGTAATCTGAATGTAATTGGTGATCAGGACTTTACTTGTGGACTGAGAATACATGACTTATAACCATCCCACTCCTCTCACTTCATTAATTATATATTCGTAGATTTGATATGACTTGTAAACAAACAAATACCCAATGCATTACAATATTAAACTTGAAAACCCCATGTTTCAGTTCAGCATGTGTTTTATACATATGCAAAGTTTCATAATAAAATGTTGCACGGTTTCCGAGTTATGGTCCGGGAACAAATGCTTCGCGTATTTGAGTCTAAGTCCGTTTTGTTGCCTGGTTTTAGAAATATCAAAAGATCAAGAGGCACCAGTTCGACATGTGTGTGATACGTATGCAAAGTTTCATAATAAAGTATCAAACGGTGTTTGAGTTATGCTCCGGAAACGAAAGCTACACATATTTGACTCTAAGTCCGCTTTGTTACCAAGGAAACAGCAAAAATATATTTTTAGAAATACCAAAACACACAAGTTCATCCTCTGTTTGATACATATGCAAAGTTTCTTTATAAAATATTAAACGGTTTCAGAGCTATGCTACGGAAATGAAACGTGACGGACGTAAGGACGGATGGAAGGTACCCATTCCTATATCCCTCTCACTTATTGGCGGGGGATAATTACATCGTTTTTTTTAATTTTCTTCAACAACATCAGTATACGCGCTATCGTGTCACCGGATTGTCTGGTCGAGACGAGATCGTTGCCTAACGACGACGGCCTGTAAACATACCTGAGTGGCGGGTGCTACCGGTACCGAACATGTAACCCTTCTCACGAACTCCTGGTGTCATTAATGATTTTCAATGATCCATTCGTATATAACTATTTTGCCTTTTACGACCAATGGAATCTGTTTCGGAAGATAATCAGACCGAATACTCTCTGGCGTAGACGTTATATATTTACAAACATATACATGAACTTTGTCTCGTAAAGTGATGGTTGAAAAGTAAATGTGGACGTATAATTTAATATATTTCAATATATGAGAGTAATAAAATACTGGTTAAAATTGTTTAAATGTCAGAAATGAGAAAATCTGACAATCTTATAATTATGCAGTTATTTGACAAATATGGATTTAAAAGTAGGCATATATTATAACATGTCTACATTATAAATGTTGTTCTGGATATTAAGGAATCACTATGTGTTTTTACGATCGGTAGGACAAGCTCTTACAGGTGTGAACTTTAATTACATGCATTGTGTGCATGCATGCCTGTTTGCCTCTTGCAGCACGGATTTCATATGATTTTTCTGATACTATACTTAAACTCTCACAAAGCTGAAAACGTGTTTATCTACGTCATAACTCATGTTGAATAATCCTTGGATCTGTCAAAAGAATTACCTAGGTGCATAAACGAGTTTTGATCATCGATTAAATACGTAATTCTATCTAACAACTCCTATGCTGAAATTCACTTACTTTATGCTGAATAGTAATACACGGAGGTGTTAAATCTTTAAATTGCTGTATACGTAACATGATGTGAAAAGTGTTGAATTGGGTATATGTACTCTTGAAAAAAAACCGCAAAACGAATATTTTGGGCCATAAAAGCAAAACTAGCGGACCAAGAGGTGCAAAATGGAGAGGTTTAATGTGTTTAATGTGCCAGTGACAAATTTTCCGGATCAAAGTGATCACAACAAGAACATGCAAACCATTAGTCGGGAAACACGTCCGAATCGGAAAAACGCACCAAGTAGATTAACAAAGGGGCCATTGAGCTGCACGTACTGCACGTGCAGCAGCAGTATGAACGGTATCAAAATGCAGGGTTTTTGATTGCCTGGCATCTGCGTCAATCGAACAGCGGCAGTTCAACAACATGCCAAGATTGACAGAAGCGCAAAGTAACAACGTCATAGGCCGCTTGCAGGCAGGGAAATCCCGATCAGCTATAACCAGGCTTTTCAATGTAGCGCCCAGCACCATCACTAGTCTATGGGATCGGTGTTAACAGCATGGGTCAACACGTGATCGGCCAAGGTCGGGACGACCAAGAGTAACAACCCCCGCCCAGGATCGCTGCATCCGACTGCGCCACTTACGTGAAAGGACGACCACAGCCACCTCAACCGCATCCCAAACACCCAGACTGCGCAGAATCTCCGACCAGACCGTACGAAACGGTTTAAGTTCAGCAGGTCTACGAGCAAGACGTCCTGTTCGACGAGTCATATTGAGTCGACAACATCGTCAACCACGACTGAATTGGTGTCATCAACACAGGGTATGACCTCAACTGCGATGGAGAATCAAAATTTCTCCTCCGTCTAGGGGATGGAAGAGCACGGTTCTACAGACGTCGGGGAGAACGTTACGCCGGAAATTGCGAACAGGAAGTGGACTGGCTTGGTGGAGGTAGCGTGATGATGTGGGCAGGACAGGTTTGGTCCATATCCAGGGCAACCTTAAGGCTCAACGATACATCAACGAAATTCTCCTACCACACATCTTCCCAAATGCATCCAACGCCAACGGTGTATTCCAGCAGGACAAGGCTCGACGGCATACAGCACGGATCACAAGAGCCTGTCTACACAACAACAGCGTTAATGTCCTTCCCTGGCCCTCCAGATCCCCGGATTTGAACCCGACAGGGCACCTGTGGGATGAATTGGATAGACGGCTTCTCCGATGTCAACCACAAGCCCAGGCGTTGCAGCATGTGGCGTTTGCCTTGCAGGCCGAGTCGGCTACGATTCCCTAGGATGTGATTCGCATACTCGTCTCTTCAATGGGCAGGCGATGTCAGGCCGCTATCGATTCTGACGGGGGACATATGGTAGTTGACTTTTAGCCTTGGACTTTTCCTATGTACCGATAACTGAGATGACCAAGTGTTATCTTCACAACATTTTGGCACAATACCTAGTACGGTTCCTCGTATAAATGTATTTTCCTACCTCACAAAAATCTGGCTTTGCGTTTCTCTTTTTGAAGTGTATATTATTAATTCCAACAAAAGGTATTTGAATGAATAATTATGTCACATATGCCTTCAAGTGACTTATCACTTCTAGTCAGTTGATGTCTGCAAAGCTTGAGTTGGAGAAATTGCTCATTGCCTAGATGATCCAGTATGATTTTGCATTTGCTCAGAACATTTGTGATAACACATTCTCAATTCAACAAAATACCCGATCACCATATCCTTGTAGCGTTTGATATTACCATAGTTCGTTCATATTTCAATGTACTCACAATCGTTACGTAAATAGAGTCTGATGTGCTGTATCTTTTCTGTTCTCGAAGTGTTCAGGTTCAAAGTCCAGGTGGGATCTGTCTCGTTGCTGGTATGAGCACATGTTAGTGGGATACTATGGGCATCTGTGGTGGCCCTACCATCTACACCAAGTCCTGCTCCGTATTGAGTGACATTATTGTTCAATGTACTACTCTGGTTATAAGATCTTCCCAAAGCAACATTTTCTGAAAATATAAATACGTAATCAGTATCACATGATTTTTGTTTTCGTAAAGGTAAATCTACCGATCGACCTCACACTCACGTCTCTGACAATATGGACCGAACCACCCTTCCTGACATCTCTTCGGATCGCCGCTGTGTCTACATGGAGTAGAGGGGAACTCGGAACAAGCATCCGTAGTACTGCAGTGACACTCAGCATCTGTTGATAAAAGTACCTCCATTTGAATGATAGTGATAATTGCTCCTTCATACATAAGCTTCTATTACAGTGAAAACATTGACTTGGCTTGATGATGGTTAAGTGTTTGTGAATCAAACCAACAAATGTGTCAAATATTGACACTCATGTTACATTCTATAAATCACGTCCCTACCAGTGTGGGTCACAGTGACACAGACCACAAGTAGTCCCATCAAGAACCAGTCCATGTCGGATGCCTAAATGAAAAGAAACGTTCACACTCATCAGCATATCTATGCATGAATTTTTATGAAAACAGTTAGAGTCGTCGAGAGCGCCGCAATTCAGAGTTCCGTTCAGAGATGTGCAGAGTTCCAAACCTCGGGAGTTTCAGAAACCTACATGTATTGTCATAGGTTTAAATTCCAGATTCGCCCTGATTGTGTTTCTGGGTTTGCTCGTGGGTTTCACGTGGCAAACGTCTTAGAACTTCATCGCTTCGGGCTTTCCTTCCACATATATACATTTCATACGCCATAATATACTGTCCAGTGTTAAACTATACTTCTTCACTCAATTATACGATTCACATGTACCCTGAACAATTGAGGCGTATGGCAAAATGTACCCTGGCATGGACTTATCTCAGACACACTTTGGCAGCTTTCACATGCCTTTTGTGGATGACTTGTAGAAGTAACTTGTAAGGCTAAAATGTTAAAATACTTTTTGAAATAAGAAACAAGTAACAGCTCCTTTCTTAAAAAAGTCGACCAATGCCTTTAATATTAAAGTGTCTGTGGCAACCACAAATCTGGAGGCTTATGCCATACCACTGAATGAAACAACTTAAAACTGGGGATTTCCTGACACAAGCGAACATGGATTCATAAGCTAAAGGTTTGATCCTTTGTTATATCCCACTAAAGCTTGTACTGTGACCAAGAGGCAATGATGATAAAGATAAAACGCTGAATTATTTCTAAAGAATTAACCTGACATCGTTGTAGAGAGGGGCGTCTTTCGCACGTATTTTCTTGCTAACAAACATTTTGACAATTGTATGCCAGGTACGATAGATGAATGCTGGTGAAGCTGACTCCAATTTTTGTAAGACTGACAAACAGACTAATGTCCGTCAGTGCTTCTGTTTACGTTAAATGCAATCTAGCTGACAGTAAAATGACTCGATCTGATCTTGGAAGTGTCACTTTACGTTTTCAAATGTCATTTCGCAAGACTATGTTTCTTAATATGTTCTCTGCTGAATAAAGTGAAAAGACAATGCATCAAGTATGACAAGCAACACCTAAAGACTGATTGAAAGCCCAACTGAATGAAGCTCCATCTAGTACCTCCAAATCCCTAACGGTTTGTTAAGTTTTAACACTGTAATGTGTTGTACTTGTGAGTACTAGTATTTCAATTTCCTTTGCAAAAACGCACATGGATTATATGTAAACCAGACAAATAAGATTTCCGATTCAGCGTTTTCAGTCTACTGTTGCGCATGGAGGCAATTTGTAATTCTCTTGGAAAGCTGTATGGGGGAACAACGTTGACAACATACCTGCTACATGTATTTGTATATTGTAGGATTATGACATGATTCAGCAATTTGATAGATGCTAATGTTCATGAGCACTTTATGTAACTTTGTTTCACGGGCTCGTGAGTGGGTGAGTGAGTTGGCTTTAACGCAGCTTTGAAAAGTACTAAGTTTTGTTTTTTTGTTTGTTTAACGCCGCACTCAGCAATATTCCAGCTTTATGACGGCGGTCTGTAAATACTCCAGTCTGGACCAGACAATCCAGTGACTGATATCATGAGCATCGATCCAGGCAACTGGGATACGATGACATGCATCAACCAAGCCTGACCACCCGATCCCGTTAGTCGACTCTTACGACAAGCATAGTCGCCTTTTATGGCAAGCATGGGCTGCTGAAGACTTTTTCTACCCCGGATCTTCACGGGTCGAAAAGTACTTAAGTAATATCACTGCATGTCAGCTGAATGCGGAAGGATAGCAACAAAGTGACGCTGGTTGTGTGCCTTTACCATTTTGGTGAAATCCAGAAGCACGGGTATTACTGACAAACATAGACATATAATCAGGGCGAATCGGAGACTTGAAACCACGATCATAGGCTTCTTGTGCGCTCAGGAGGCGGAACTCTGCACAGCGAATTGGACCATCTATGTGCCCGGCTATTTACAGATGAGTGAGTATGGTATAACGCTGTTTATATCACGGCGAGAGAGGGTATTATAGCAGAACAGATATAATCAAGTACGGTCATATACTTGTAATTTCATTTGAAATAATTTCATACTTTGTATCTATTGGATTTATGCATGTTTTAAGCAGATGGAGTGTCCGTATTGCCTAAAAACATTATAAAATCGAATGATTTCATAAAACTATCTTACACTGTTGTATATACATGTAATACTACCTGTTTATACAGTACTCACCTCCAACATCAACACCTCGCAGTCGTTGTTATATGTATCTTACTGGTGCAAATATGTTAGCAAGCAGGAAGTAAATTGTGTGAAGCAACTCACATGTGCAATACAAAGCATATATTATGTTTGTAATAAAGGTGTGTATATTTTGATCATATTTGGATTCCCACCAATTTGACATTTCTTGATTTTCAATGCGCAGTATTTTATTATGCACGTTTATTAAAGGAAGCCATGCTAGGTATTCCTGAAAACAATATACAAATTAAAAAACAAAAAAAACACTTGTGGGCATGGTGAATAATAGTCGATATATATGTATGATAATGCATGATAAAATGTTTGTTAATGTCAGGTTATTTGTCAAATGCCTATATTGTCAGTATCACGTGTTCAGAAGGTGTAGCAACTTGAAGGTAGTCAGTGATATGGCTGTGATGCGAGTTTCACAGTAGTCGGTACATGTATGACGAATCACGTTTCTTGTATCGTCTTACTAAGCTGCTACTCCCTGGTTAAGATGACAGAGAGTGTCGCAATGGGTAAACTACACGTTTATCAGCTCTGTTAAAATAAAAAACCAATATATCCGTTATGGAGTTATGGATACACATGTACACTGTACCTATCAAAGAAGGAAATGATGTATAAGTACACCTGTGCAATATGTTCTGTGCGTTTCTTCATTAGGTCTACAGAAACATTAATATACATATTACGAACATGACATAAAGTAGAGTGAGTTTTACAAATGTCGAATACCTGGGATGACACAGACTTTAACACATGAGATAATACTTGCAAATAGTCATGCTTGCAATACAGGATTAATCTCATACACCATGACCCTATGTTATTAACTATCACAGGTGAAGATTTAAAACTAGTACGTAACCATAAAAATATATCACTACACATAATACATGATAAGAACGGGCTATGGATCACCAGCAGCTGAAGATAGATCACAACTGAATGAGAACTAATTATGTTATATAATATCCTTTCTGGATGAAACTAATATTTATCCCTTGTGATGGAAAAATCAACGCAGTCAAACAGGACATGCTTGTCAGTGACTCTTTCATCACAGGGGATATCGAATAAACATTCGTGTGTATGTCTTGAATGGGTGGTTGGTTGGTTTGTTGTTAAACGCCGCACTCAGCGATATTCCAGCTATATTACGGCGGTTTGTAAATAATCCAGTCTAGGCCAGACAATCCAGTTATTGACATCAAGATCACCGATCTACGCAATTGGGATACGATGACATGCATCAACCAAGTCAGCGAGTCTGATCACCCGATTACGTCAGTCGCCTTCGTACAAGCATGGGTTGTTCAGGGCCTATTCTAACCCGGATCTTCAAGGGTATTTTTTTTAATAATAAGGTACAATGAAATTCCATAATAAGTGTTTATAAGTAAATGGATAATATATCCATACACGCCAATTAAATGGGTTAGACTGCATATGGTTCATTGATGAACTCTTTTACAGTCTATATTTCAAGACATGTATTTGATATTCATAACTCCTTAAAGCTACACAATGGCGACAAAACGGTACCAGCATCACAGATACCTATAATACATTTTTGAACATGAGATACATATAATTACTTTAAAGTTAAATCGTGTATCCAAATAGTAAATTAGAAGGATTAAAAATATACACATCCGACATTTTTCGTATTTTTTTTTCGTTTGGAGAGAGAAGTAGTGACCAGTGCCTGATGGTTGCAAACAGGTGTCGAGTCGCTGTCTCAGATGCCTCTAATTTCGTAGCTCTAAAGATCACGACGGCGATTCAGACCGTGACGTAGTTTGTCTCACCATCCCTGAACCATATTATTTTCCCTTTCGCCCAGGCCTTACTGCAATGTGCTGGGGAGCCGTGCAGGTAGCAGAAGTATTGCAAGTCCCTACGGTCCCCAGTAAGTTGGCCTAACTTTGGTTGCTGGCGATCTGTACCCCGTTTTTATAATGTATTGTTGAATAAAAGGTTATTCTTTTAATTATTCTAAACTAGTTTTACTTATAAACTGTGATATCCTAGTTGTTATACTGTCCGTCGATGACAGGTTTTTATTTTAATGTCAGTATTATATATGTTCTCGTCACGATATGGCTGAAATATTGCCGATGTGACGTTAAATTTTAACTCACTCACTCACCTTACTGCAATGCTATAGCCCCAAATGAAACAAGCCTAGATGTTCAACAGGTTCTGGCTGAAATTTCCATCTCACTTTGGCTCCTTTTAAATTTAAATATAGTTTCTCGTTTTAACCAAAATAATATATTTTCAGAGACTAAGCGTTAGTCTAACCGTGAAGTACAACTATCCAAAAGATCCCATGCATGTCTATATTTCTTCAGCCAGACTCCATGTTCCTATCGATATGTATCAAAAGACAAATGAATTAAATATTACAGCATCCTACAATATCCTTTTGCGCAAAATACATACATACTGATGAATTAACGTAGTAATGCTACGCAAATATATGTCCAGATGTATACATCAGTTTCATCTCGTGATCTTTATTAGTGCTTTCAGATCTTTTTCTACAGGAGATCATGGGGTGTTACATCACAATAGAAAGCCAGGTCCAAACTCAAGTAATAATTTCATGGCCCGTCTTGTATGTTGGAAACCAATATCGCAATATGGCTGAATATTGCTAAACGTGGTATTTACCCGATTACTCACATAATTATTCTATTTTTTCATGCACGTTCTACAATCATCTATGATCACTATCTATAAGGAGGT